ATTTTAGAGTTACCATTAAATGCGCCTTAATAAGAGGAATCTAACAAATATAATTTCATCTTTCTATGATCACTAGATCTTAAGATATTTTAAAAATTCAAAAATTTTTAAAATTAATTTTAGCCCCTACAGTTTAAGGGATAATATACCCGGGTATGATATGTGGTTAAAAAATCTTAATTCTGGTAAGAATTCGGCTAATTCTGGCCAATTTTTCCATATTCCATACAAGATACCCCGGGTATAATTCAATTTTTAAGTTGGTGAAATTGATATATACCCGGGTATTTTAGGCAGTGCTATACGGTATAAAATTGTCCATCTGAAAGATTTACAACTAGTGGTACGGTAAGGTCGTTAAGTTCCCTTAATATTTCTTGCGCAAAATATTAGTTAAGTACTTTCTGCAAGCTGTGATAATTGTATATCTCCAATTTTCCAATTTTTGAATGATTCAGTTTCTAATAATATAGTATCTCTGCTGAATAGTATGGAATCTTCGTTCTATGCGATAACTTAATAAATAATCCGCCTTACGCATAAAATATAATCTTTCGTTCAAGATCTTTTGTTAGTTAATATCATAATATTTAATCTTATGGTTAAATATATTATAACACTGAGTATGCTAATAATGTGATTTTAGCTTACTTATATATAAAATACGATTGCTAATAAAAACAACATTTCCTATCGAAACAAAAGAATTAGCAATAAGAATGGTTTATACTATATATATTTAACTACTCTTTACGGTTATTAGTAGTTGTCTTGATAGACATAAATATATAATATCTTTGCAATATTTTTGCTTAGGCAAAAGGCATGGCATGATAGTATTAATATTTATAATAACTACGTAAAACATGATTTATCACGAATATTTATAGTTTCCTTTTTTTTTTTTTAAAAAAAAAAAAAAAAAAAAAATATTATTAAGGCGACTTAAATTATAATGTTTTAAAGACTTGCGGAATAAAATTATTTGTTTTTTTTCCGTCTTTTAGGAAATATTCATTTTTTATCGATAATACTAACTGCATAATGAACAAAATTTGAACGTTTTGCATCTCATAATAATGATGCATTATTAAGGAAATTTTATTATTTCATGAAAAAATATTAATGAAAATGAAGATTAAGAGATGTATTATTTGCATGTGGATACGTGGGGAAGTTAATATTTCTCTAAAAGTTAACTATAATAAATCTATAATCTATTTTAGATTAATATACATTATTCAGTTATGTAGTTTACCTCCAACGTGTAAATAATTTGAAAATAATAAAAACATATACTATTTTTAATGGCTCTGACGCCTTTAGAATCAACCAATAATATATCGATATAATGATTATATAAAAATATTGTGATATTTCTCTAGGTATAAATTTCATTGATTGTTATTACAGTATTTCTGTTCCGTTTATCAATTTGACATAATTATAATTTGTACAATACATGATAAATTTTCTATACTCATTTTGAACTTTAAAATATAAGTTAATGAATTAGATTAATCTAAGAATTTGTACCCGTACCCGAAAGAGTTCTGTACCATAATTTTAATAACATACGCTTGTGGCATGGTGTGCTCGCGTAAACAAGTGTGACAATTTAATATTGTGATATTACAGAATTGTAGCAATTCTAAGTTTATTTATAGACCATCGCCATAAGATTTACAGTAAGTCATAAGTTCTGTTTCACAAATTCTTTTTTTGTTTAAAGATAAAAAATTTTTATGAATTTTATTTTTTTAATTTTTCAACTATCACCGGGGGTGATGATCACCGGTGACTGAAATTATAACGATCGACCAGCATTAAAAAAACATAGTGCCGGTAAAAATTGATAATTCTGGCCAACGGTGATGATCACCCCGGTGATTTTGAAGTAAAAACTTAAATTCAAAATAAGATAAGATTATTTATAAAAATATCATTCGATTGAAGGATGAAAAATACTCTGAAGAACGTATGTTATTTTTATTGTTAATTCCATCTATAAGTATAAATAAAACAGCCGAATTACCAACTTCTTTAAATAATAATCCTTCTTTATTATCCGCTAATTTTTAACTATTTAACATATGCGTTTTTATTTATACAAAAAAAAATTATGCTAGGATTTAATTAATTATTTATTCTTAAAAATTCATATCTTGGCAGAAAAGCTGGGTGATTTGATTACTAGTTCTGAGGATGTGCGGATTGCATGTCTGAAATTTGTGCCAGGTTGATGGCGCAGTGTGGCGCAGCGATTTTTCCAAAAAAAATTAAATTGCAATTTTTTTATTTAAAATAAAACTTTTAAATTCCTGCACTAGGTGTATTTTCGTCCGCTTTGCAAATTTACTTAGAGCATATGCAAGTGGTTTAGAAGGCCATTTTCGAGTTATTTAACAAAAACTTTTTTTTCTACAAATCCAATTTTGTAAATGATCAGCAAAGACGATAAAATCGGTTGTTATATACTAAAGTCAAAATCTACTTCCAAAACCTCCTTTCATTTATAAGTGAATTTTGTAAAACAGATGAAAATACATCTAATGTGTAAATTTAAAAGCTTTATATTAAAAAGAAAAACTTTAACTTAAATCTTTTTGAAATTACTGCGCCACACTGCACCGTCAACCTGGCACACATTTCAGACGTGCGTGCAGATTACGCCATGATGCAATTGATGTAGTTAAAAATAGAAAAAATCCAATAGCTCTGATACGTTAAACATTTACTGAGTCATAAATCATAATCATGTAAGATAGAAGTTTATAAATTCTATAAATGCTTTAATAGAATTTCATAAATAATATTTATTGATGATAGTTGTGAAAGATGTTTTTTTTAACTTTTACATAGCAATTTTGATAGAAAAGTTCTGAAATGACTTTATTTATTTGATTATTATGAAATAAACTGTAAATAACGTGTTAGGAGGCAAAATTCACTTGTGAACTATGTCCTTACCGCCTTAGCACATTTATATTGTAATAAAGTGAGTGTAAATTAAAAATCCAAACACAAAATTTTATTTTTTTACTCGTTGACTTAATTCTATACAAATCTGATCAAATGTATGATAAGCAAAATTACCATTTCCGTAAAAATTATAAATTTACAAAATAAATAGGGATTTAACACAAATATAAAGGTAACGAATATGACAATATAAAAAATAATAATAATTCAAATACATATGAATCACATAGCGATAATGTGAAGATGCAATAATGAAAAACTGTTCTAAAAAAAATGTTCTATTTGAGACTAAACAACGCTACAAATTTTTTTTTTTTGTAAAATGTTCTATATAGGTGTTACTTTAAGTGTAATTCAAGCAATAAATCTTTTAAACTTTACATATTACATATATATAGTTGGAATGCTAGAAGTTCCCATGGTTTTTGATAAATATATACATATATGATCAGCCAAATTACTAAAAATACGCAAAATAAACCCTTAAACAAAAAACCTGTTCCTGTTAAAAATACGCATTATAATAGTCTGACTGTTTAAATCCCTTTACTTGCTTTACCCTATTGTAACATTACTACTAAGATAAATCGTTTGCGGTATAGCGATTTTATCACTACGCTGCAAATTTAGATTTAATGAATATATATTTTTTTTTAAATTTTGTAATGCATTTCCTTATTAGGATAACACATCCAAAAATTCTAGAACAGTAGAACCGCACGTGCAACACGATACGGCTAAAAAAAAACACACAAACAAAGTAAGAGGGAAGGAAGAGAAGAACGAGAGAGAAAAGAAAGGAATATCGCTATTTAAATAATTTTTGGAGAGTAACATACGAACCTAATTTAAACTAATCCTAATCTAAAAAAGACTAACTAACTTTACTCAATAGGAACTAAAATCAAGAGAAGCTCGCGCTAAGCCTAGAAAATTGCAAGTAAACTAGTGTGTAGGTTGACCTCTTCCCTAACATTTAATCCCCATACTCGAACCCAATTCTATACCACGATCAGAAACCTTCTTTAATTTTTTTCTCAAAAAATTTTATTCTTGCGAACAAGAGACTTGAGAATAATGTTTTCTATCGTTCGTTCCAAATCTTGGTTACTGCGGATATGACTGATTTCTCGTTTGCTGCCGAATTTGTCCCACAGTAAACCCTCTCGTTACCTATTCCCAATACACGTCCTACAAAGCCGAAAAATTATGTGGTGTCCCCAAGGTAGAAGACTAGCGGTTGGCCCTCCATGGTCATACTCCAATCCAATCTTCTTGAAATCCAATCTTAAAAATTAATCCTTATTTTCGTCATCATTACGCCACGTGATTACTGCGGATATGGTTGTTCCCTTCCTCGGATAAAATTGTTGCCGCAATTTTGTCCCACAGTAAATCACCTCACTTCTCGACATTCCTATTTCCTCGCTGAATCTTCCGTTACTACTTTTGAATTTCTGAGCTAAACTCCACTATCTAAAAGTCAGTTTTCTTTGTATTTTTCCAAGCCTCTGTTATCGACTTCTGACAAACTTTTTGTTGGAGCAACACCTCGCCCTACTTGGCCCTTTTTGGGTCACTACCGTAAAGGCTGACAGCGAGAAATAACTTTTGGTCGAAAAAATTTGAAAACTACTAACAAACTTACACTAAAACTCCTATCAAAATGTTCATAAAGGACTGAATAAACAGTTGGTGATGTTGAAATGCGTAAAATAACGGCTTAGTCGACTTAATTTTACATAGCATCATATGAATAACGAACTACCGATTCGTCTGGTTAATTAATGATTTATTTATATTAAAAGTTTTGTATACTTTATATATAAAAAGTCTTGTTATTCTGTGCCGAAAAATTCCTTCTGTTTAGAAATGACTACGTTACGTCGTTACGCATCAAACGTGGTGTAACGGTAAAATAAACATAAAAGATCATTTATACTGTATGTTGATGATCTTAATTGTTAAGAATGTTATCAAAACTCCGGACAATAACTTATTTATTTCTTCAGAGAATATATCATATTACACACCGATACTGGAGTAACAATAAATAAATCGAATTTTCGAAATGGAAATCAAAAAAGAAGAAAAATTTTTACCACAGAATTCTATAATTCATTTCTATATTGGGTTCCATGGATTATGTAACTAGCAAAATTCAACTAGTCGCAGTCACGTGCATTCTGTTACGCCACTATAATTTGTGATCATTTAGTATGTATGTAACATGATGCAGTCAGTTTCTTACGAAAATTCTAAAAGTTCTAATAGATTATCTTTAAATAAACTATAAAAATCGCTACGTAATTTTCTTTGTTTTAATAAAATTTCTTAAATAAACACAACATAATGGAACTTACAAATAAAAATAATTTTGACCCAACACCGAAATTAAAATCTAGTCCCATACCGATTTTATTTCTTCCATTTAATAATGAGAAACTAAGATGTAATAATTGTGGAAATAAATATTCTACCACATATTTGTATGAACAGAAATATTGCAAACAATGTTTATTATTGTACATTGAAAATATAGCAGACAATACGGACAATAACAAATACTTTGATGTAAACATTATGACAATAAATACTCATTGCATTGAACACAAGTCAACAAGAAAGATAACATTTTTTACAAAAAGCATCCAGGAATGGTGTGTAAATTGCTCAGAAATTTTATATTTTAATAATTACTATGATTACGTTATCAATACTACGACGAAGTGTATTCGTAAAGAAAAGGATTGTAAATTATGTGAAAAAAAATTTGTTGATAAGAATACCTTTGAGATTAAGTTGTGTTCTAATTGCTACTTAATTTCTTCTGGGTGGACAAAATCAATTCTTACTAATAAACCTATTCCAATACTTCATTTACCATGGTGGGATGCTTCCAATAAAAGTAGGGTCTGCAACCATAACCTAAAATTTCTAACCGATTGTAAAAAATGGTGTTCATATTGCTTTATAGTTTACGTAGGGTGTAGATATTGTTTGACAACGAATATAATTTTTGGAATTATTGATCAAACTCAATGCAAAAAATGCAAAAGAATATCAAATATAAATATTGATATCGAAATTATTAGCAGTGGAAATCACGATATAGATGAATTTCTTATTTCTACAAGAACAAATACCGATAATCATGATAAGTTTGCTAATTATATGAATAATAGTGATAAAAATTCTAATCCTTTAAACGTATATAATTTTATCGAACATAAGCTTATAAATTTTAATTATAAACGAACAATGGAATGGATTCCGTATTCTCAAATTAATAATTTAGAAAAGATAGCAGAAGGGGGATTTGGTATTATTTATAAAGCAATTTGGTTAAATAAAACTTCTGTTGCCGTAAAAAGATTTTCAAAATCACATATAATAAACTTTTTAAATGAGGTAATTAATTATAACAATATTTAATTTAATTAGTTGTTGTACATTTTATCACTAAATTGAATTTATGACTTTTAGGTGAAATCACTCCATCGATGCTATGATTCAGTTTTTATTGTTAAATATTATGGTATTACGCAAGACCCTGTAATAAAAGACTACATGTTAATTATGGAATATGCGAGAGGCGGAAATTTACATAGTTATTTACAAAAAAATTTTACAGATATTAAATGGACCACAAAATTAGCTGTTTTATGTCAAATTTCAGACGGGTATTTATGTTTATATTAATTATTCTATAAATAATTACGCGAAATGATATTAAAATTTAAATTACTATTCATACTAGACTTAAGGCTGTTCATAACGAAAATTTCATACATCGAGATTTTCATAGTGGAAATATATTATCATTAAAAAATGATCACAAAAAATGGGTAATTGGAGATTTAGGATTATCACAACCAGAAAATAATTCGTCGAATAATGAAATATATGGAGTAATACCTTACGTCGCACCGGAAATATTTCAAGATGCTATGTTTTCAAAAGAGTCTGACATATATAGCTTGGGTATGATTATGTGGGAATTAACAACAGGTTGTAAGCCCTTTTCTAAAGTTGAACATGATGCTGGACTTGTTCTTCAAATTATTGATGGTAAAAGACCTGAAATCACAATTGATACTCCTGAGTGTTTCGCTAATTTAATGAAAAGATGTTGGGATTCCAATCTCTTAAAGAGACCTTCCATAGCAGAAATTAAAGAAACCGTTGATGGTTGGTACAAAAAGCGTAACAAAACTGAAATAATATTTAGTAACGCTGAGGAACAACGAATAGGATTAATACAATTGAAACAACTTGGACCAAAATTTACAGAAAAACAACATCCTGGCGCTATTTATACTAGTAGGCCTATAAAATCTCTTATTTCTCAAGTTTCATCTCTTAATTCGTCTTCGACTATTTCGAATCAAGTTTCGAATCAAGGTATGTATTAAAAATTAATTAATGATATATTACTTGAATAGTTTAATAATAGATAAAATTTTTATTCTTTACAGTATACACTTCGGAAGAATATAAATTTGATATAGATAATAGTCATGATACTCAAAGGTATTGTAATAAACTTATTTAATACAGAAAAAAGATCGTTATCTAACTTCTATTAACAAACTTAGACAAACCATTTCAAGATCTTCGTCTATCAAATCATCATCTGGTATGTACAGTACTATTACTTAAAAATATTTCTTGATTTTATATTAAGTTTATCTTTCTATCTTATAGGATATATTTCAAACGATTTAGATTTTGATATAGAAACAAATACTCAAAGGTATTAAAATGAAACTTATTTGATACAAACAAGATAAATTATCTAACTTTTGATTATAATAAACTTAGATTAACCACGTTTGAATCTATAAGATCTTCGTCTATCAAATCATCTTCTGGTATGTACAGTACTATTACTTGAAAAAAAAAATTTCTTGATTTCATATTAAGTTTAATGTTTTTCTATTATATAGGATATATTTCAAAAGATTTAGATATAGATATAGAAACAAATACTCAAAGGTACATATATGTTTAAGATTAAATACATTGTTTTATTTTTTTAAATTTTTATTTAAATTAAATTTTGTTAATAATAACGATATACTATTTTATTGACATTTTAGGTTATCTACAATAAATATAAATTCAATGTCACATCCAAATGCAATTTATACTAGTAGACCATTAAGCGCACTTATTTCACATGTAAGGAATAATAGAAATTAACAAGTAGTAAAATGATTTAACGTAGTAAAATGTATTTTGTAATTATAAATAAATACGTTATATTTAAATAAAGTAACCAAGCGTAAAGCGAATAAGTATTAAATTTATTTTATTTTAACTTTATCAATAACCAAAATTGGACGAATATTCAATTACTGCAAAAAGAAATTAGTCAAAATTAAAATTCAGTAAAAGTTCTTTCTACAAACTTAAACTTATTAGTCAACTGCGCGTATCTTCACGAGATCACGTGATTGTTTATTGTTTTGTTGTGATACGTTTTTTTATCACCGGTTCTAACCTTACATACATGTCTCATTGTCTCAAGTATCTAGCCCCGCCCATAGTTTCTTTAAAAAATTGATTTTTGATTTTATTTTTTTCATTCCCTACTCGCTACCCTTTCTTTTTTTTTAAAAAAAAATATTTTCTTCTCATTTTTATAAAAAAAAAATTTTTTCTATTTTTCTAACTTTATTCATCATCCTCCTTTTCCTAACTTTGTCATCCCTCCTTTTTTAAAAAAAAATTTTTTTATTCCCCTTTTTAGGTTTCTTTTATTTTATATTTTATTCTTTTTTTTTTTGTCTTATAGGTTGAATATATTTTTTTTGTTGGTTGATTCTTCTTGTGGGTTAGTTCTTCATGGGTCAGTTCTTTAAACGTGAGTCAATTATTTTTATGTAGATCAATTTAATATTTTTACGTGAGTTGTTTCTTTTCGTGGGTTAATTCTTTTTCGTTAGTTAATTTTTTTCATGGGTTGTTTCTTTTCGTAGATTTTTTTTTGTAGAATGCTTCAGGATTTTTTTCTTTTTTGTAGGTCTTTTTGCTGTTACAAGACTCCAAACTTTAGAAATGCCAACTCTTGGAGATTTGGGGAAGTTTTGTTTCTAATTGGGTTAAACATTCTTATGTTTCTTTTTCTTTTTGTTTTTTAGGTTGTTATATTCTAGAAGACTTGGATAGGAGAAGTGGTTTATCTATCGGGAAATTCAAAGTTTCTTTTTGTTTTAGTTTGAAAAAACTTTTCATAATATATTTGCATTTTATTTTATTTTTATATTTGTTTAATAAATATTATTTTTTAAAATTAATTATGATATAACTAGCAATAAACTGTAGCTTAAGTAGTAAATTTTGCGACCAAATTACATTACAAATCATCATGAATTCGGCGTCTTAATCATGTGAATTCCGTGTGAGTTCCATGCAAATTCCGTATCCAATTTGTATTTTTAGTGATACGGAATTGTGCATTTTTCCGTATCCTTTTCAACGGACTATTATGGTACGTTATTTCTAAGGAAAAAAATCGTATAAAAAACATTATTAAAAACGTATCCAGTTTTTTTACAGGTTTTAACAAGAGTTTTTATTTAAAAAAGAGAGGGGGGAGGGGCTAAAAATAGTAAAAAAATAATTTAAAAATTTTGTAAATTATTAAATTTTAAAAATATGAGAGGGGGAGGAGGAAAAAGTAAAAAAAAAAGAAATCTAATTCCATAGTGGGGGGAATATTATATAAAAATTTTTTTTTATGTATACAGTAGTAAGAAACCAAATTTTTGAGGGGAAGGAGAAGGGGATTTAAAAAAATTGATAAAATTTTGCTTTTTTTGATATCTATCTAAATTTAAAATTTTTGAGAGAGGGGGATTTTGTTAGACAGAAAATAAAATTGGTCCGGCCTCATAGCAATACAAATATAAAGGTGACGAATAGTGCAAAAATAATAATAGTAGTAATTCAATATGTATGTACTACCTAACAATAATACGAGGAAGTAATAATGTAAAGAAACGTTTCGAAAAAAATGTTCGATGTATTTCAATTCGAATTAAAATACTTGATCATTATAATTAATTAAAAAAAAAAAAAATAGAAAAAAAACGAACATTAGTATTGAGTTTTTTAAAATTTTAATTCGAATGCAATTCTATTTTATCATATAATGATAGATTAATAAATGTAAAACAAGAACGTAAAAAAAAAAAAAATATAGTTAAATCGTTTGTGGTATAACGACTTCATCGCTACTCCACAAATTTTGATTACTGTAATTAGATGTAGTAAAATTTTTGAAAATATTTCGATTCATTTGTAGTATAATATATTCACCACTACACTACAATTTCGAATGTTCTGATTATTTCAATTCATAAATTAGATAACTTGTATTTAATCGAGTATTTGAAAATTTTCGAATTCGAGCAAAAATTGATCTTTTCCTCTGGCAATCACGATACAACAAATTAACGAATGTGATGTAACAAAATGATATATATATACTGTACGTGCAATTAATCGTTTTGACATCGCCACTTGCAAATTTTTTAATTATTTATAACTTATTCATGTCACACCAAAATTTTGCATAAAAAAATTCCTAACTTAAATTATTGACAATTTCTTCGTAGAATAGAACGTATTACACACTGACACTGGTGCAGCAGTAATAAAACCGAATTCTAGAAGGCAAAAGAAAATTGTACGCTGATCTAATCCGAATAAGTTATAGCATAACGATGACTATTTATGGGATAAACTTTTTTTATCTCCCTGAATGATCCTTTGTATATTTTCCATTTCAACTAAATCCCTATAAAAAATTTTCAGGGCAAAATTCCGATAAATGATCGTTTTTCTAGTTTTCATTCTCAATTTTATAAAAATTTTTTATAGGGGCGTGCGTCCTGCTACAGTATTCCGTAACACAAATATTCTCAAGAAACAATTTTTTTAAAAATAAATAAAATTAAAAAGAACTAAGTTTTAATAGATGCATAAAATATCATATTAAAATGATTTATTTTTATCAATAAAGTTTAAAATGATATTATTTTACATGAAATGATTATTCGTATATAAATTATAAATATCAAACTATCTAATTTTCATTGTTTTATTAAAGTTCCTTAAATATAACATCATGAATGAAGACTTAACGCCAAAATTTTGAGTTTTTTTTTCTACACAAACAATTTATTCTGTATGCATTAACGTGTGACAACTGACAAGCGGGTACGCCACAAATGTAAATACATTGTGCGACAAGTCTGGCATACAAGACAAAGGACAAAGAAGATAATGTCACCAGGAGGGTCAAGTCCGATTCTTTTGCATTTCAGATAGTCGTAGTCACATGCATTCGGTTTACAATTTTTGTGGCTTAAAAACTGTTATCGTGACGATGCAGCCTCTTGAAAGTATATTAGTTTTTTGTTAAAAGAAAAAAGGAAATTCTTAAAGTCCCAATAGATGTATGATTATCTGTAAATAAACTGTATCACTATTTAATCTTCATTAATTTGTTAAAGTTTCTTTGTAATGGAACTTACAAATGAAAATTATTGTTAGTTTCCGTAATAATCGTAAAGGTTTGTATAACAATTAATATGTATCACGTGAAATGTATAGTAACTATTAAAGTGATCGACAAGCAAATTAGTGTAACTTTGTATAAACTCATTCTCCTGTTTTGGAAATTTGGGTAACGGCATGTGACATAACGCGAAAATTGACCCGGCATTATTGAATTAAGAAGAAATTTCGAAATTAAAGTAAATTAGAGTTGCAATCCAGGTTGTAATCTGAAAATGCCGTAATTATTACTGACGGCAACCAACTTTAATGAAAATAAATTTGACTCAACGCCAAACAGAAAATGTAACACATAAAAACACTTCTACGACAAATCATGATTTTGTATTTTGCTAACGACGTTAGAATGATGAAAGACTTAAAAAATTCAATATTTATTATGGATTACATACTAAATCGCAAGACAAACTATTTGGAAAAGATGGCCAAAAATAATTTTATATATCACATAACATTAGAAAATTATACTGGTAAGTGTAATTCTTTATTAATATGTGAATTTTATATAATTTTGTGTCTTTGATCGTCAATACTTTCTTTTTTACAGTATTGTAGCGAACGATCGATCACGTGACCAAAATTTGGGCCTAATCACGAGGTGACGATCAATGTTCGAAATGTTGCATATGTTGCATATATGTAACATATCAAATATATGCAACATATCAAATATTTCAACATATCAAATATATGCAACATATCAAATATGTTTAATTTATTTAATATATTCAATATATGCAATATGTTAGATATTTTTAGTCTAGTATTTTTACATATATATAGACCTGTAATTAGACCTGTAGTTGAATGAAGTTCAGTAGAAGAGTTTTCTTAATAAAAATGGTTCTAATGATTATATTAAATAAACTGTTGTTTGAATTTAACGAAATATAAATTTGTTATCCTTTATTCGTGTTGGGAGTATATGCCGACGTACAGTGCTATACTACACGTCTGATTGGATTGTTTATTAAGTGTTTATACATATAGTTTATTTATTGATTATACTCGCCTACCTATATACCTTCTGCTTACCCTTTTCCATTTGTTTACGTTTGTAAACGCTAAAGAACTGGCTATAACAGTATTGCCACATTGTGCCTTCAGAAGAAAAGCCTTCGAATCTTCTAATATTCTTTAATTTTAAAATTTTCTTACAATACTTACCACAGTTGTATTATTTTATTTAAATACTAACAGCTAATTAATATTATAAATTACGCCAGTGAAAACTTTAAATTTTATTAAATCATAAAAAATTGATTTTATTTATTTTATTATAAAAAAATTATTTGCTCAATTACAAACTGATTTATTTATGTAAATGAAAGTTTACATATACTCTATAATCAGTGTTGAACAAAACAATATATTTATTATCATTTATTCTAAAAGCTTTAAATTTCCTTGAAAAAAAATTTAATTTTAACTCATTTCATTTTTTTTTTAAAAAAAATATAAAATGCAATGATAAAATATCATATTTCACAATCCGAACATTCATCAGAATAATTATAATAGTATTTTGATAGATTTTTTGTATAAGGATTAAGTAATTGAGATGTATAAAAAGCTTGTGGATGATGAGTTACTGATTGTTTTTTTTCCTCTAAAATTAAGAAATTTGATTCTTTATATTCATCTGCTTTTTTGAATTGCTTTTCAATATCATAATGTTGTTGTTCTTTTTCTAAATATAAATCTGATTCCGGAACATATGAATCATAAAATAACGAAAACAATTCATATATTTCAGTTGCTTTTGGCCTATTATCTGGATTTGAATTCCAACACCTTTTCATTAAATCAATATAACACTCTGGTGCTTCTTGATCATTTATATTAGGTCTGCTTTCATCTTTACAGATATCTAATGCCAAAGCTTCATCATGTGCTCGATTGGCAAAAGGTTGTCTTCCTGTTGCTACAAAATACATAATCATACCAAAACTATATATATCTGCTGCTTGAGTATAAGGGTTTCCTCTTAAAACTTCAGGAGCTACATATGGCATAACTCCATAAATATCCGATTTATCTATTTTATCAACTTTTCCACATAATCCCATATCCGATATAACCATTGAAATAGTTTTATCTAAAGAATTGGACATTGATAATATATTTCCTGTATGAAAGTCACGATGAACCATTTTATTTTCATGAATTCCTTTAAGGCCACTAATGATAAAACGTAATACATTTATATTATATGACCAATCAAATTTTTTGTAATGCTTATTTACCCAATGACATAAATTTCCACCTTCTGCATAATCAAGAACCATAATATAATCTTTTGTATCAGTATTTTGGGATATTCCATATACTGAAAGAATTTCATTTAATTCATAAATAGAATATTCTTTAATCTATTAAAAGTTAAACCACTAATTACTTTTAATATATTTAAAAAGTTTTAAGATAGGAAAATCTCATCATACCTCATTTAAAAATTTAACAGTAATATTTTGTGAATCATATAATTGTTTTAAAGCAATTTTTTTCTTATCTCTTACATATTCACATCCATTATAAGATAATGGTCCATCTTTCCATGTTGCTGAATATATTGTAGCAAAACCACCTTTACCTATTTCTTTAATATTACTAAATTGATTGTATGGTATCCATTCAAATATTATATCTTTTGAATTATCAGTTTCCGATTGCATTTCTTGAATTAATTTGTCAATTCTTTTATTTCCACTAGTTCCGTATATTAAGTTTTTAATATTCTTTAACTGGCATGGTTTACACCACTTATTAAATAAAAATGATGTATATTTTTCATCACATTGTTCACAATACTCATTTTCAAAAACTATAATATAATCTTTTGTATTAGGATCTTGAGATATTCCATATTTTTTTATAATTGAACCTTTTTCAACCTATTAAGTATTAACGTTAATATTAAAAATTAATCATTAAAAAATAAATCGCGTTATTAAAAATCAAATCTATAGAAAATTACTGTACCTCATCAATAATATTTTGTGAATACATTAAAGAAACTTTTAATTTTAATCTTCTTTTCTGATCTTTTTCATAAAGATTATCATAATATAAAAAGTCATTATTCCATATTACTGAATATATGTTATCATCACTATTTATCTTTTTAATATTAATAAATTGATTGTATGGTATCCATTCAAATGTTCTATTATTATCTATTCTATTAACTTCTAATTGCATTTTTTGGATCAAGTTATCAATTTCATCATTTTCGCTAGTCCAGTTTGCAAAGTTTAATTTTAAATCATTTTCTAAACATTCTATACATCCATATTTAAGATTATACATAAAACATTCTACACCACACCTTTCACAAAAACATTTACTTGTAATAACAATAATATAATGTTTTGTATCTTGATTTTGAGATATTCCATATATTGAACTATCACTTTCTGATAAATATTCTTCAACCTATAAGAATAAAAAAATCAAGTATACATTATTATTTCAAAAAATAAATAAATAAATAAATAAATAAATATTTGTTAGAAATTCCATACCTCATCTGTAAATTCATCAATACTTTGTAAATCATATAATTTTAAATAAACTTTCTTATTTGATTCTCTTGTCCATTTCTTATCATAATAAAGTAATGGACCATCTTTCCATATTGCTGAATATATTGTAGTAAAATCATCTTTATCTATTTCTTTAATTTTAATAAACTGATTATATGGTATAAACTCAAGTATTGTATCATTAAGATCACTAATTTTCAATTGTATTTTTTGAATTAAATTATCAATTTTTTTATTTCCACTGGTCAAATTTTTAAAAAATAATTTCAAATAATTCATGTGACATAATCTACACCAATTAGAATTTGTATTTATGTAATTTTCATCACACTTATTGCATTTTTCATTATATTCGTTTTGAAGAATCATAATAAAATCTTTTGTACTTGGATTTTGTGAAATTCCAAAAATTTTACCATGATACTTTTTAACCTATTAAGAATTCGTAATTAATTATTAATATAATAAAAACACTATTAAAATTATAAAGAAAACATCAGAAACTTCGTACCTCATTTAAAAATTCATTATTAGTAATATTTTGGAAATTATATAATTTTAAAGCAACTTTTATATTACGCTGATTTCTCATATACTCATTTTTTATTTTATCATAATTTAATGGACCATCCTTCCATATTGCCAAATATTCTTTAGTAAAAATATCTTCTTTAATATCATTTAACTGATTGTAAGGTATCCATTCGAATACTATATCTTGATTTTTATTAATTTCTAATTGCATTTCTTGAATTAAATTATCAATCATTTCATTTCCACTGGTCCAGTTCATAAAATTTTGTTTTAAATTATTTATTTGACACATTTTACACCACTCATCACTTGCATCATCTTTACATTTATATTGTTCATTACATCTTTTACAATATAAAATCGGAAAAACCATAAGATAGTCTTCCGTATCTGGATTTTGGGATATTCCATATATATTAAGATGTTCCTCAACTTTAATCTATTAAATCAAAAAAAAAAAAATTAATAAAGAACTATAGTTACAAATAAATTTATATCTATAAATTCATACCTTATTTAGAAATTTAGTAATATATTGTGAATTATATAAATATTTTAAATTAACCCTTTTATTTGATTTTCTCGTCCATTCTCCATCACTATAATATAATGGGCCATTCTTCCACGTTGCAGAATATATTATATCCAAATCAATTTTACTTATTTCTTGAGTATTATCTAACTGATCATATGGTATCCATTCAAACACTAGTTCTGATTCATAATTGATTTTTAATTGCATTTCTTGAATTATATTATCAATTATTTCATTTCCACTGATGGCCAAATTTTTATTAAAGTAATATATTTGACATGATTCACACCATTTTTTAATTATATTTGTATACTTTTTACCACATGTTTTACAATATATTTCTTGAAAAACGATGATATAATCTTTTGTATTTGGACATTGAGATATTCCATACATTCTAAGAACTTCACCAATATATGTTATAGAATATTTTTTATCCTAATAGAAAAAAAAATTATGTTAATTATTACAAAGGAAATGAAAATTAAATTCATAAAGAAGTTTTATTGTTACCTGATCAATAAAAAATTCATTAATGATATTTTGTAAATTAAATAATTTTAAAGCAACTTTTTTATCCTGTTGATTTCTTGTATATTCATTTTTATATTTATCATAATATAAAGGACCATCTTTCCATATTGCTGAATATATTTTATCAAAACCTTCTTCGTTATCAAAATCTTCTTTATTACCTAAATTTGTAATATCAATAAATTGATCATATGGTATCCATTCAAATATCATATCATCAAATTCATTAATTTCTAATTGAAATTCTTGAATTAAATTATCAATTTTTTCATTTCCACTGGTCCAATTTGTAAAATTTTGTTTTAAATTATTGATTTGACATGATTTACACCAATTATACTTTATATCATATTTACTAGTATATTTTTCGTCACATTCCTTACACTGATCGTTATCGTCTTGATATAACATTTTATATAAAATAATTAAAGTTTTGAATAAAATATATAAAAATTCAAAAAACTTATTTTTATAAAAAAAAGGGAAAAGTAAAAAATAAAAAGAATATTTTTCAAAACAATTTGTAATACGTTATTTATTTTATTTATTGTTTTACTTGTATAACTTGTATTACTCTTTTTGTGTCCGTGTCTATCAAATAATTTTGTTAAACTAGGAATGTGACGCAGTTATACCTGTCACAATAATCACGTGAATAATTTTGTCATTGCCATCACACGACCAAAAAATTTTGTGTTTTGGTCATTTTAAGAATTTAAGATGATTTGTCATTATTAAGATGGGGAACTTAATAATTCTAAAATTATCATTCGTTAATATAATTGTGAAGATAGAAGTAAAAAAGTGTAAATATTTATTTTTTAATAGAATTCCATGCAACAAAAAAAAATATTATCTTTTGGTTTTCTTATGAGGGTAATTACGCAATCGTCTGATCCCACGATAATAATCTGTTGTTAAAAAGAATGAAAGATTAATTAGTAAATTCGTTTGCTTCCACTACAATAAATCAATAATTTTACAAGTTTTTGTACATTTATGATTATAAATTTTTATAATTTAATATGCAAACAGTTCGTTGACACAAAAGAATATTTGCGATTTCAAATTTATCTAATTTTTACAATAGAATGATTAAAATTTTATATAAAATTGTGGTATAATTATTCGCCATCAGCATTTACAATATAAATTTACGCATCGCTCTGATTGTACAGCAATATGTAAACCATCTTATTTTTTTTTAAAAAAAAAATAAGTAATGGATATCAATGATTTTCACGGCTGCGCCGTGAAGTTCATGATATTCCAGTGACTCCGTGAAATAACTGATTTATCCCACGGTAACCGTACCATAAAACCCTTTAATATACTTAACTAAATAATTATTCTAATATTGATAGACTTTTTACCCATCTTTCAAATAAACACCACCCGTGAAAATATCAAGAAAAAAAATCACAAATTTTAACTAGGAACTATGGGATAAATAAAATGATATTTGATATGATGAGTGATGGTAGACCTTGACGTTAAATTCAGAATTAAGAAACAAACGAAACGAACGAAATATTAGCGTTAATAGCTTTCATTATACATTGTCAGCTCAAAATTGACTTTTCCTTTTTAATGCATTGTACCCACTAATCTTTGTGTTTAACCATCTATTTATAAAATTTAGATATATAGTACCTAATAATTTTCTAAAATTGGATATTGTTGATCGGTAAAAGTGAATAATTTAAATAATATATCACTAGACAATAATATATCAATAAAGAATATAAAACAAAAAAATCAGTATGCCAAAAAGTATTAGATACATATAAAAAATCAACTAAGGAGATAGAAATAAATGGCTTAATATAAATTTAATGGAAACTTTTAGGCAAAATGAAATTTTTGTTTTTTTGTAAACTTTTTCTTCTAAAAAAATTTCATTACCTAAAGTTTTCTTAAACAATTAGCATTTTTAACATAAAACATCTTCTTTTTGACATAAATTTACATATAATGCAAAGGCCCAGGGTTTATATTTTATTAATAAAAAAATTTTTATATGTAAAACTGTGACATCTGATTGGCCAACTTTGAAAGATACCTACTAATCAGAAATCTTGAAAAATTGGAAAGGTTTACATGTTGAAAAAGAAGCAAAAATGAAAGTCGTTTGTGGAGATAGATCGATTTTACATTTATCATCTGATTTGTGAAGCAGATTTTGAAGTGAAATCTAGGCCATTAAAAACATTAGTCAGTGAAAAGTTGCAGCACAATGCATTGCTTGAAGAAACTTGATATGCTGGTAAAAAGAGAAGAAAAGAAATTTGTAAAATTAAATAAAAAAAAAATGTTAAAACTAATTGGTATATACAGTAGTACTTTTATTTTTTACT